GGTTCTCGCAAATATAAGCCGATTATTTGGGGCAATCCAATCCACATAGGAGGTAGAGAATGAAAAAGGATAATTAACTGTGTTGAATGGCAGAGTGAAACGAAGAACAGATGAAGGTTTAGATACTACGGTCAACCGGAAACTGACACATTCTAACAGGTATCGAAACTCCAAGTCATCTCATTCAGTGTCAATGAAGGTGGCTCTAGTCAAATATCTAAATAATGGAGCTGGAAAACTCACTAGCCTATGGAAGGACTTAAACAAGTAATTGAAACACATAACAGAAGTGTTAATAAATAATGATTACCCTCTACAGTTTATTAAGAAGTTCCTACGAACACATACGAAGCGAAATAAAAGCAGTGACACGAATACGAATAATGGTGATAGGATGAGTAGAATGCAATTCAAAGCGTCTGTTGTGTCATCATATGAGGAAGGAACATCAGAAGCTTTACGTAGGATTGCCAACAAGGCTAGAGTTAGGGTGACATTTAAACCTAGGAACTAACTTGGTGATAAGCATTGTTGGCTACAGGATCCGACTGATCCAATTGGGTGGAATAATCTAATCAATCAAGGAATCATTGTAAGGTCAAGTAAACAGGTCAAACTGGACGACTGGGATCAGTTAGATTAACGAAACATAGGAATTTACCTAAATGTAGAGTAACCGACTTCAACAGGATCAATAATGTAGAAGAAAGCTTGGCTATTGCAATGCATCTATCAACACCCAACCACATAATAGGGTGAACATCCAACACATCTGATGGGAATACTTTGATAATATCTTTATTTTTGTCGTGATATTCCAACATGGAATGATTAATTTGAAGTTTACATGTTAACGCTGGTATATGCATGACTAACTGATGAGTCTGGGTAAAAATGATATGATTCTCAGTGTTCATGCATATTAATGACATCAGAGATTGCTACCCATCATGACACGCTTTCTTTATACTTGCAATCCCTTCTTTGTTTTGACACACCAGCAAACTAGGCTCTACACTACTGTTGATGAAATGTGTAGGCAGTTATTTGAGTTCTAGTTTTAACTGCTTCATCAGCTGTTTTCAGTTTAAATCATAGAAATTTGTATTGACTAACACGTGTATTTATAGACCACTCCTGCTATTCATCGGTAATCTCTAGCCTCATTGACGGGATCTAAGTGATAGACAGCTAATTGGCTCTTTATTAAGCAAGCTTATCACCTATATTTCTGAATTGGCTAGGCTCATATAGCTTATAGTGGAGAATATTTGTAGCTGAGGTGGATGGTCTTGGTTGTATTGTGTCCTCTGAGCTGGGTTCCTTAATCGTGAAGCTTTCATCGTCTTTCTAGACGACATCATCAGCACAGCGTTTTCAGTGACATCAAATTCACAATGGAGAAGGAGTCAAACAAACAACTACCATTCCTGGATGTTCTGGTCAGTAGAACAAATGCCAGAAAGCTGGAAACCCTAGTGTACAGGAAGCCAACGCACACTGATCAAATCCTCAACTACAGTAGCAAAAACCCAACAACACACAAAATCAGTTGTTTGCAGGCTCTGTTCAGAAGAGCGAGAACACACTGCAGTACAACAACTTCAAGAAGAAACGAAGAGAATTACTTGATGTTCACCCTAAAGAAGAACGGCTACCCACGAAACTTTATCAGAAGATGGCTATCCCGTACATCATCAACTACAGAGTCATCAACAGAAATCAATAAACGCATCGTACTATACATAAAGAATATATCAGAAATCACGAAAAGATTACTGAGACCACTTGGAATTGGTGTGGCTCATTAACCAATAAATTCCCTCCAAGCACTATTATGCAGACCAAAGGATGCAACAACCAAAGAAGACAAACGGAATATCATTTTTAAAAATCAACTGCAATAACTGTAGTCAACACTACATTAGACAAAGTGGTCGCCCTCTTCGCATTAGTCTAAATGAACACCAATCGGCCATTAAATGTCATACACGACATTTCATCACTCATTTCAATGCATGTAGATAATTATGGACATGAATTCAATTTGGACAATGTAGAAATTTCGGACAGTGGAAATACAAAGAATATCCGAGAATTCCTAGAAGCTTGGCATTCAGGTCGGTTAGTAATTAATCAACAGGTGTATAGACATAGACCCAATCTATCAACCAGTGAGAAAATGATAAACGACAGAAAGGTTAGAGGTTAAGCTGAGGAACAGCCAACAGGAAAGTCTATACAATCAATGACACAACAATCAAAGAAAACAACCAGTCACAAACCAGTTTATCAGTACAAGCTACTAAATCAGTCACGGAGAGATATTGATAGCTCACTTCATACTGAAGTTAGTACTGATGATGTCGTCTAGAAAGACGATGAAAGCTTCACGATTGAACAACCCAGCTCAGAGAACATAATACAGCCAAGATCATATAGCTTAATATTTCAAATCACTTCATTCCTGCTTAAGTACTTCAGCAGACTGATAACACCTAGAAGTTAACTAGACATTTGAAAACTATACAATCTGCAGTGAGAATGACACAATCAAGTGAGACCCAATTGTTTTCCATGAAGAAAACATACATATGTTCAAACCTTAATATCTGATCCACTGGCTGGCATTCAAACTGCAAGTATGGAAACTTTATGAAATACACTGCCGATTGATTGTTCCTTATGTTCGATGTAATTGGAGTAACTCAACGTAGTAAGTCAAATTTTCCAAACCATTTTATTCTTCATGTTAAGAAGACCATAGTTTTTAATCGAAAGACTATGATTGATAAAGAAAGTCACCTTGGAATTGCATGACTGAGTTACACCTAGTTAAATCATTCGTTCACCTTATAGAATGAGAATCGAATATTTTATTCAAACATTTTATGGAAGTGAAAAACATGCGGTTATTTACCTATGACTACAGTAGTATGTCTTCATAACTGTTTTTCCAACAGTTAACACTAAGTTCAACTAATTTCAATAAGGAGAAAAAACTATTTTCCGTAATATACTTTAATTTCCAGTACTTGTTCGATTAGAAATGAGCAATCACTAATCAATCAAATATTTCCAGTCAGTTAGATTTCCTTTGCAAATATATCTTTCTTATAAACTGTACAGTATTGAAGGTATAAAAGAAAGAATGATATATTATGGCAAAGACCAATATTTTGTTGAAATAAGTACTTCAATGCTTGTAGGAATACTGTGTGACAGATAAGATAGTATAGAGTAGAACAGGCTGTTTAAAATGACTACAGTTGTGTCAAGTTATGCATAAGTTTCTGGGAGGGTAAGACTTACCCACGATTATCCAGTATGAAGAATTCACTATTCTGTTAGTCCAGATCCTGAATCCCTACTGACAATTGATAAAAGGCACCTAACAGAATTTAATTTACAAGGCAAGAGCCAAAAGCCTTCAAGCAACTGTGTAGTTTAGCTAACAGAGGATTACAGTAGCTCAGGTTCGGGATTCCACTGTTAGTATCAAGAAAAGTCGGCAACAATACTGAGACTTGATGACAAGTACCTGATATGCCAGAGAATGAACTCATCAGTTTCACTCTGTTGATAGACGTTCGATGTGATTACCCAATGAGAGAAATTTCTAGAAAAAGAAAACAGTTATTTCTTTTTAAAGTCAAGTAAACTGCTTGCTTTTTCTTCCTTTAGAGGTGGAATGAAGGTTTGACGAAGTGAATAACTGATGTTGTGGTTACATATCCATTCTTTTGCTCATACTCCTTTTTCACATTTTAATCTAAACTATTAGGAACTTAAGAGAAACAGTTCCAGAGGCATACATTATTGATGGATAATGGACAGCAGTGGGATCCAGGACGTGAGTTTTGTCCTATTTGGGACTCGTCAGTTGGATATGCCTGCCTCTCAGTGAGCGATGTTATCCCCACTGGAATTCGAACTCGAGACCGATTGCTCCAAACACTAGAGTGTCATTCAGCAAACCACTGAGTAATGATAGCTATATCTTGTGCAATGGGTATAGTTTTCATGTTGTTGTATGGATTATTCTGTCCCATATCCCACTACAGACCGATCGATTTGGTCCAATCAACGATGGCAGAATACATGCAATAACATTAACACTATACCCGTCGCACAAGAAGTGGCTATCGTGACTCGGTAGTCTAGTAGATATCACTCTGATGTTTGAAGCAATCGGTCCCGAGTTTGAGTTCTAATGGGAACAACATCACTCACTGGGAGGTAGGTACATCCATCTGACAAGTCCTAGATAGGAAGAAATGTGCGTTCTGGATTCGTCTGTTGGCCACTAGCCATCACCACCACGAAATTGAAACAACTGACAATATCGAGGCATCCACGTAGGAGCCCATATGCCAACAGAGGCCGATCAATTCGGTCCACCCAACGACGGGATAATACAAGCAACAACATTTTTTTCAGAGGTAGATTAAATGAGTTCTCAACAGCAACATATTTCTACTCTTGGGATCAATTATAGTTAACAATGACATGGTATAAACAATAAGCTTTTTCTTCGGAATGGACTCAGTAACCTTTTGCACATTCGTTCAGTAGGCTATCAGTCAAGCCTATTGTGTGAGGGTTAATAATACCACCTGACTCCCCAAACCTCAATAAATTTTACAGACTTACAAATACTCTCTTGTGCAGCATAATGAATTTTCCCCTTTTCTTTGTACATGAACAAAAAGTCAACGAAGTCAGACATCTATCATAGTAGTGTTTTAAAGGTCTGTATCCATGGCATCTAGTAGCTTAGTTTGAATAGTAGTACGTTTGTGCTCAAAATTACCGAAAAAAAACCGCTTCACGAGAAAAAGTGTGGTTATGTCGTAAAATGTTTGCTTCGAAAATAAAAATACTAAATAGAATCTTTCTCGACAAAAGATAATTTACTCAGTTTTAAATTCTTTATTGACTGTTACACTTCTATAAATTCAGTCAGTAGGTGTAAAATTCTTTTCTATTTAAAAGAAGTTATGTTTTTAAACTTTTTAGCCACTGAAATGAAACAGACAGATCAAGTTATGCAGTTGTTGATAGCTTCTAAACGTCAGTAACCATGAAACTTCAGGTTCAATTATATTTCTTGCATGAATCCTACTGAATGACGATGGTAGTTGATCACCAAAAACATAATCTCCTGACCATTACCGTTCACTTTTTTACAAATAAAAAAAAGATAAATTTCTAAATTTCGCTTTATTATACGGTATATACAACTGACAGACCAATGAAATCGATCGACACTAGTCAGTAACTATATGAAGTTGATGTTAACACCAGGTAACAGCGTTTTCGAGTAAAAAACAGAGTTCAGTTCAACAATTCAACTAAGAAAGTTGATTGGTTCAAACCATCTCATTTCTAGTTAGCTAGTTGAGAAGACTAGATGCACATTGGATTAAATTAGGTTTATATAAGCTACACATTTTAAGGTTGGAACGACGCATTTGGAAAGTAATTATACTTTAGGAATATGTGATTTGATTCTACTTACTTCCATTCAAAATAATGTATAAAAGAGACTTAGGATAATACTAATGTATTACTTAGTAGTTTCGATAGATAAACTTGAAAAGTTTATAGTTCACGTTTTACCTTATAAAATTTATATTGATTAAATCTTCGCAGGAGAAATCGGTGTTAAATTACACGTGACTGATTGTCAGCCTATCAACGATGGTATTTACTCGTCAATGAATTATTTTATTGCTCAAGTTCGTGAAAAATTTGAAAATGAAATATTCTGCAATGTAAATTTATTACAATTAAAATGGTGTTTAGAAGAGGAAGAAGGATTTAATGGATTCACATTGGAACGAATTGAACCAGGTATGTAGTATTGTGTTTTAATTGGTGGAGTGATTGATTAATTTATTTTAAAGTAATTTTTATCGAAGTTTCGCATTATCTGTTGAATCAATGAAAATGCTGAAGTAATAAGTAGCTGTTTATGCCTATTTTGGGACTTATTGGCTGTAGAAATCGTAGAACTCATGAGATATCGAACTCCGGACCTTCAGGTCTTTCTGTAACCACTTTACCATTCAGCCAACAAGTTCGAGTTCAGTCATCCACTTTTTCTTACCTCTGTCAATTATTCTGCTTATCGCTTGTAGATTAATAGATACTGAGAAGAAAAGAATTGGCTCCGTTTACTGGGTATTCTGTAATTAACGTTTACTTTTGACTTTCCTTAAAAACGACTAGTCGTTGTCATGGAGTTTCTTTCCAAACTTTGTTTCTTTTTTGTTAAGGTTATACAGAAATCCTACTGCATTCTTTTAAATACTGACAGAAATAATTTGAGAAAAAGTAACATAATCCTATTCTTCATAATTTGCATTGGATTGATGGGTTATTTAGTTCTGCAGAATAGGCAAAGACCTTGTATTAGTGTAGAACATTCGAAATAACAAATAATAAGCGATTTTAATAGCTACTCTAGCAACTGTTGAAATAACCAATCAGATTTTGGGATTTTGGCTGAGGAAGCACTTTTTCATAAAGTCAAGAAAAGGAATTGATTCTCTCAGCAGTTGCCTTGGTCACCTTTAAAGACACTGTGAATAAGAGTTGGTCAGTTAATGACAGCTCACTTATTTCTACGGAGAGAATGTTGAATGACAGATCATTTGAACCTTGACCTCTGTATAGGATACCTGGTACAAAAGAGACAAATTATTTTGTATACTTCCAAGAAGATATTAATGGCAATTTGACATTACTGGCTAGCTAGGTGAGTTAAATTTAAGGTAACTGACTACTTTTTGAGTGAAGAATCTTAAGTAGCAATACTGTGAACAATCAATTTTGTCTCTACACTTTGTTAGATTTCAGTCGACTTTTTATGATTGCTGTCTCTAACCTCTGTGTTCTAGTTTTCCGGTTTTTACCAACTATGTTGTTATAGCAGCCAATTTGTGATTGTGAAGTGTTTAATATTTCTTGAAAAAGTAATTCGTTCAAGTATTGGCAGTTGAAGCTTATTGTTCACACAGAAGTCAACTTCTATGTACATCAGTAGTAGCCCGAATAACTAAGTGGTCATGCTGTCCGTTGCAACACTTGGTGATACGAGTTCCACTCTCCGACAGAACATCATTTCCTTTGAGTTTGCAGATACGCTTTGCTCAGGAATGCTAACAAGTACGAAACCTAGGTATAGTTGGTCGACTGCCTCCAACCAACTCACATCAACACTTTGTTCCTGAGTTGTTCGACGTGGTATTCTATTTCCTCTATAAGTAACGTCAATTTATGGAAACGTGTTGTTTGCCACTCAGTTTATGCTCATTCCAGTGTGTCAGCAGAATGAATGAGAGAAACAGTTAGATTTCAAACAATGCCTTTGTAAAGATATCATGGTTCTGAATTGCAGTCACTAACCACGATTGGTGATTTACATAAGCCCAAGACCTGGCCAGCAGAGAAGTCTAGTGGCTCAGTACAGCACTGGGTTGGTAACTTGAAGGTCTCTGGTTTAGGTCCCACTGCAACTGAGATTTTCATTTCACCTTCAATCATCACCCATTTTCAATCTATTAGAGTGTATACTAGCTTCAACATTCATCTATTTTCCGACAGATATATCCACTTAATGTTGTTGAGTGGAATAAGGACTATTGTTGAATCGAAAGTGATCGATCAGACATATTTGGAGCATACGTCTAGTATAGACACTTATCTCTTTGCCAAAAGAATCATGAAGAGGAATTATTTAGTATGAATTCCAAGTTAAAATCGGTCTATAGATTGAAATTGTAGGAAGTTAGTATGAAGTCGGTACTTTTTCTAACCAAATTCATTATCATGCCTTAAATTAATGTACAAAATTTTGTACTTACAGAAAATATTTTCATAATGGTAGATATTATGTAGTAATAAAATAATAATTTGAGGGTTTAATTATCCAATCACTGATTAGGTGAACTCTTCTCCGATAGATTGACGTTTGTGAACTTGACAGTTGGAAATGATTTATACAGTAGATTAGAAAACTTAACTACCTTCTTTTCTAAGGTAAGATTTAAGTCCACTAAGAAGATAGAAGTTCGTCAACAAATGTCGTACACATTGAAGCAGTGAAAATATACCTAAAGTCTAGATTATTATGAACATAGAAAAGCGAAAATAGCATCATGACATGAAATTATGCAGTCTGCACTACAACACTAATTATAAGGGAGAGTATTAGAAAAGTAATGAATGGTGCTCAATAATAAATTATTACTTGACGCTAACTGAAATATTCGACTAATGACTCAGTTTTAATTAGGCTGAATATAAAGGTTGACACCAGCTTTTGGTAAGAAATATCACATTTGATCAAACTATGTATTATTATTTGTCCCTTGGGTTCCTAGTGAAACATAGGGCTTCATTAGAACGTCACCATTTCACTCTCTTCGCTGCATTCTTCTCAATCTGGCTTCATCACTGCCCAGGAGCTTTCATTTCTTCCTAACACGATGTCTTCCATGTCACCGTTGGACTCCCAACCCGTCGCTTACCCCTGTTGCTTATACTTATTATTCTGGCCATCTTATCTTCAGTACCAAGTGTGGGCAGCTGTCGATGCATGTCTGCAGTTTGTTGGAAACGCTCTTCACAACGAGCTTTCTCAACCATTACATAGAAATACTGACTTACTTGACTGACTCAGTGTTGAAAATCCGGATCTTGTTCACACTTTATGCTGAATGCAGTGTAGTGCAGTATAGTGCAGTAGATCTCCACACGTATTATTTCAGATTAATGAAGGAAGGCCTTTCTTTCTGATTCTAGCTGCTTTGACATCCTCATTTGTGCCACCGCCACATGTACTTCAAATGATGCTGACTAGGTAGGTAGGTGAAAGTGACAACTTCCTTCAGATTTCTCCTGCTGATGGTGATTGGTGCTTATTGTTGTTGGTTGGGTATTGATTAAACCATACGCAATGTAATTATATCAGGCAGTGAACATGACTAATGACTGATAGTCAGTGAATTACTCTGAGAAATCTATGCGCTATCAGCAAAATGGAGCACTGTGAAATAAAACAAGTATTCCGTATCAATTGTCAAAAGGACAGCAGACAAACGGATGTCTAAATACCGTGGATAAGCTAAAATATCTGTCAGATACCTTACTTTTTAGTCGGTTAATTTACTGTTTCATTATTGTAGATACTGTTGATTTTATGCCGACAAGCAGTTGATAGATTTTTGTATGGTCCCCTGTTTACCTTTATTTTGTAAAAGCTGTAGGTCATTTTCTTGCTATAGAATAAGGGTATGAGTTGCTGGTTAAGGCCCCAATTTCTTGGGGTATTTAGTTATGCTGTAAAATATGAAGTAGAATAATCTTTGCTTCCTTTTGGTTGTATATAATTTTAGTTTCAGTGTAAAGAAGAAGAAGGTTGTCTGTAAGACGGTTGAATAATACAAAATTTTTTTAATTTAGTTTCATGATTACTGATATATCTTTATGTACAGACTAGAAATTAACTCATTTCAACCTCTTAGACAACCTTCTTGTTGATAATAATTGAAGAAAACTCACTATCTGGTACAGTAAGAAGGAAAGGTACCTGATTTAAGTCGATTCACTTTGTATTAGTAACTTCTGGTTGCATCATATACATCGGGTAACAGCATTTATTTTTCGAGTGAAATGGATTATTTTAAATTCATCCGAGTCTGTTGTTTAAATTGAGTTTCGGACTTCCGTCACACTTAGACCATTCATTCCTTCATGCGACAATGACGTTAACTAATAGAATCAGAAAAATGTTGATTTCGACTCAACAACTCAATAGTAACGGTCTTACTCTAAAACTTGAAGGTCCTGAGTCCGATCTCTGGCGAGGTCATGCGTGTGTAACGCTGAAGAGTCCCATACTGGGACAAAGAAGGCTTCTCAGGTAGCTTACACTTTATTGTATGATTCTTATCATAGACTCAGGACCCCTTTGACAGTTACTATTTCAGGAATTTTCCTCGGTAAAATGAATATATTTTGTTAACATAAATCAAAAGGAGAACATCTGACTGAACAGCTACTATAAACTGAGAAGTGAAGAGTCATACATTCCTTATTCATACATTGGATGAATAAGATAATACATGGCTGCAGAGAAATACAAGTTTTTCTTAACTCAGACATCTTATGTCGCCTAGTGGGCCATAAGTGTGCTGTTTCGACTATGTTTTTAGCTAAGGTTTCTTTAAAACCTCATCGATTATTTCTGTTTAGCCTAACGACAAAAGATAATATGATGAATTTACAAGAGATTCCTTCCTAACAACATTATACTGTCATAGTGGAAAGTTGTCGGTTGGAGATATGATTAAGTCGAGATGGGCGACGTATGCATCGATTAACCGATCCTTAATATCACTTTACCCAACAAGGGTTGTGCCCATCTATCACATAAAGCAGTGATATGTGACTGTTTGCTTATCAGTGACTCACGGTAGAGTGCTTACCTGTAAACCATAGGCAGCTGGTTCGACTCCTGGTGAAATATTGTTTTCATTTTGTCTTCAGTTATCAGCCAGTATTTATAACACCAGGTCGCTAAATCACAGCTATCTTAGACATTCTTATTTCGATATCTGTAATCCTGACTGAAGTATTCCATGTAGGGAAAATATCGTTGTTGTCAGATTAAGTCATTCAGAGTGACGTGTGATGTATATTTTTCATTTCTGGATGGGTGATGGCAATCGGCAGAAAAACCTAAACTCCTTTTTTCTTATCTGATGATATCTATGACCAGTATGAATCCGAAACGCTACGGAAACGAATATATTCCCAAGAAATCTGAACAAGAAACTCCCAGAACTTGATTTGAATGTGCTAACATTAGATTGTTCGTACCTTGATTTATTTTCTGTTGATTAATCAGAAGATGCTTCACATTACCGTGTTGGCTTTACTTGACTGACAGTCAGACTACGTTGAATGATTATGTAGTGTAGCTACTAAGTTAAGTAAATCTAATTTCTAGTACATGAGATTATTGATTTACTTGTTGTTGTTTTTTACCTAAAATTAACACATATACAACTGAAAAGAGGATCAGTGAAATTTGTTCGGCTAACTAATACACAGTTACGGTTTCGCAATAAATCAAATTAAACTGATAAATAGACTGCTAACCTGCATCGAAAACTATAGTAATGCACTGACTTGGATTTGCTGACAAGTCTACATGTTGAGCATATCCTTAAAAATCAGCTGTTTATCACCTTTAGATGATATCTTAGGAAAACCTGGAGAACCTTCATGAAACCTGAAAGCACTGGATAAGTATTTTATTCGAAGTTGTTCACCCATGACCTCGTTAGTAATCGAGCTCAAAGTAATCAAGTCTCGTAATAAACACGTTTTCAGATCCAATGGTCATCATTTTCTTTCTTTTATCAGTTCATGATAAAGCATCCCCACCGTACAGTGCCATCACGACGGTTTGTTATCACAGGTCACTGCTTCTCAAAAAGGTCTTCGAGAAATCCATTTCAAAATAAGCTATTAATGATCACTGTATGATGGAAACCAATTTGAAATCAATTAGTCCGCGGGAAAATTTGTTTGAATACAAAAATCTGATCAAGGTTACAAATAATTCTTGAAAACAAGATGGCGATGGAAGTTGAAAAATCTGGTTTTATCATTTATATGATTTCCTTCAAACTTTTAATGTATACATATAATGTATCATGGATCTTTTATTGATACCAATGAATACTGTGGTAGCAGACTTGAACAAAAGTGCCTATTTTCATCTTTATTCTAGATCTAGTTATCATTATTTATCCTGAAAGTTTTGATCGGTTCGAAGAAATGAAAACAGTTAGCTATCAACTTGAAAATGGTATACAAAAGTACTTTAACACACCAGAGACACGTATTACAATCGGAGTAAATTGTTTTAAAATTCAAGTCTATGTAAATGAAGAAGATTTGCAGAACGCCATATCTGAATGGAAAACAAATATTGCTCCAATCAAATATCAACTAAACGATTCAGGTGAGTTGTAAATAGATATTAGAGTCCATGTCAAGTTTATGAATGACTAGTTAATTATGGTGAAATTAAGAAGGGATAAATGATGAGTGTTTCCTACGGTATTCACGCTTTACTTCAAGTTGCTATTCTTCATTGACATTGGAAACCTGAAAGCACTGGACAGCTGTTTCATTCTAGTGTGGGACTCCTCAGAGGTGCGCATTCAGGCCTTTCAGGTTTTGTGGCCAGTATGTCACCACTGAGCCGGGATGGTAATGAATAATAACTTGGAATCAATAAACTCCCACAAAACCCCAAATTTAAATAATTTAGTGTCTATTGGTGATTAGCTTCGAGAGGTGATTCCTGAAGTTCCAACGGGAAGTCGTGATCGGTGGGTCAAATCTGATGGCCATGAGGACAAATACTCCACGATGACATTGGGTGACCATTACGCTATTTCGTGAGCTGATAGAAGTTGGAAACATGAGTCACTAAATTACGACCCATTGGTTCAATCGTAACGTGCTGGCCACGGAACCTGAAAGTTCCGGGTCCGATCTCTAGCGGGGTCATGGGTGCGCATTGCTGATCAGTCTCATACTAGGATAAAATCACTGTTCAGTGCTTCCAGGTTTCCAATGTCCCTCCATCTGATGTCAGTTCATAATGAACACCAACTTGAAATCAATAAACCCCCAAAATACATTCATAATTTACTAACGGTTACATCTTTACTAAAATATCAATTGCTTTCTTTTCAGTAAAACAATCTGTGACCTTTCACAGTAGTCATACGCCACAGTTTAGAAGTAAACTTCTGATTTTACTGACTAAAAGTTTATATGGAACTATTAAACTCTAAAATAACAGTATTTAGTTGACATATGATTTTCGTACATTTTGTTAAACTTATAGCTTAGCTTGAGATCGTAAAGATTATGCATAGAGAATGTTGTTCATAAAATGACATTCTATTCTGACCGACTATTTCTACTCAACTTTTTCTAAAATATCCTTTTTTTAGTGACTACTTCTACTACTAGATTCCCTGAAAATGGTGTCTTATTTCCAGCCGTATCCACTGATTGCAAAGATACAGACAGTAACTTTGTGTAAAAAGAGAACTCTCATAGTGTTTAGTATCCCCAAAGCCCTTATCTATGCGCTAATGTTGTTCACTAAGAATTTTATACTATCCAAATGGGATATGATGCCTGACAATATACGCATGCTTTTATTACCGGAAGTAACATATATCAGTTAATCAACTACATTACATATCTATGTAAATACAAAATTTCAACAGATAATATTTTAACAGATTAACTCCCTGTATAATATTCGTAGACGAAATAATTATTGCATGTGAATGGTGTTAAGAATAATAACAGTATTTAAGACAACAAAGTGAAACAGGCGGCTGGTGTTACATTAGCATCTGATTTGGACTGAAGAATGAATAGAAACTCGAGCTTAATATTTGTGGGGGTATTTCATTCAACTCGTACAACAATCTAAAATTTCATATAGGTATCTTAGGAATACGCTGCCCACTATCACAAATCATCTCCCTGATTTCGGTCGACTGGATCACGCAACAAACAGTGAAGAGCGAGAAGAGTAACATACGCTCAATGGATCGGAGAAAACATCCTACAAGATTTGGATTTCGCCGATGATTTATGTCTAGTGTCACATAAACTCGAAGATCTACAGGCAAAAACTAACAAGTTGACAGAAGACGCGAGGCAGCCAAGATGGGACTTCAGGTGAATGTACAGAAAACAGAAATGATGAAGATACTCAACCAAAAACAGCTTCATCAACAACAACAACAACAAGCTCCAATCACCATCAACGGGAGAAACTCAAAGGAAGTAGTCTCTTCCACCTATCCAGGCAGGGCAGCACTGTTTCAAATACAGGCGGCACAAGTACAAACGAGGATGTCAAAGCCAGGATCGGAAAGACAGCTAGATAGGCTTTCACTAATCTGAAATCAGTGTGGAGATCTACCGCACTGCACTCAGCATAAAGCGTGAATAACATCCGAATTCTCAACACCCATTCAGTCAAGTCAGTGCTGCTATGGGGTGGTTCAGAGACTTGGCGCGTTACGAAAAGCGTTTCCAACAAACTACAGACATTCATCAACAACTGCCTACCCTGGCTCGTTACTGAAGCTCAGATGGCCAGAATAATAAGAATAAGTAAGCAACAAGGAACTCTGGACGGACAACGAACCAAGCAAGAAGCTATCGCTCAACAAATATACAGAAGAAGAAATTGGAGATGGATTAGGCATACACTGAGAAGGCCGACTGAGGACATAAAACGCTAGATCAGGCCATCGAGTGGAACCCAGATGAGAAACGATGAGATTTGCGTCCGAGGTGATAGTGACATGGAGGAGATCGTATGAGAAAGAAATGGGAGCTTGTGGGCAGTCGTTGAGCCAGGTTCGAAAGGTTGCAGCGAAGAGAGTGCACTGTGGACGTGGTACTGAAGTCCCATGTTCCACTAGGAACCCAAGGGACAAATAATATTATGATAATAATCTTAAAAATATTTATGTGTTATATTTTTTGTTTTTATAATTTCATTTCCATCCAGTGTAACATTCTTTATTCATTTTGTTTGAAAATATTTTGAAAATGTGCAAGATTACATGATACATTCAGAAGACACATTTAAAAGATTAAAACGAACAGAAAGGGAAAAATATGATGAAATATATTTGGTGGAAGATTTTTGGTATTCTTAGGTCTAAGCTAGTTGCCAGTAGGCTAAGGTTTTTTGCTTGCTTGTATTCTAGCCATGCCAAACGCTGGATTACAATGCTTTCAAGGAATATATGAAGTCTTAGGCTATCGGAACAGAATGCTTAGTGTAAACGATAATATGCATCAGTCATAATATTGTTTGTGACAAATTCATTAAGTCATCTATTTAAAGTAGGCTGTAAAAAGTCATTTGTAATCTTTCATATTATTAACTAATCAGATTATTTTGACGTATACTGTCGATTACGTTTCTGTTTGTCCAATGATGTACTATAACTGAGTTTATTCACATAACTCTTCAGAAAATTATATAGCTTTCATGAATGTGTAAATACTTATGTCTTTATATAGCAAAACTGACTATTAATCCTTTGTTTTTGTAATTGACTTTGTACAATACCAAAATAGTATCTTTTTAGCCCTAAAATATGCTTATTTTAATGGCTGATAAAAGAGAACTATTTTGCTATTTGTTCATTGATCAATTGCTTTTGACACTTTAACACTTTTAATAAGCTATTAAATTCACTATTTCTCAAGGTCATTAGAGATATAACAATGCTACAATAGTATTGCTAACAGCAACATTATTATAACGTGAATTTATTTTCCAAATTCCAGTTCTTTGTATTTCTGAATTAGGATTTATTTCTTTAATCGATTTTGAATTCAGACATATTGTGAACATAGTATTTGATGACACCAGATGTTAATAGTGACGTAAAGTATTTGAGAGCTAAAACTGAGATAAATGTCTAGTAATAGGATTGATTGATGCAACAACAGATATTCATAACACAATACTCTACTTAGTGTAAGTAATTACATGCATACTTCTTGTTTAGCTTCTCTATAGTTAAATGTTGTTTTAACCTGCCAAATTTTATTATACACATCTAAGATCTATACAGACAATCAGTTCATAATATTTAAAGTTGTTGAAACAGTTATTTGACAAACCTGAGCAGGATGCTATGTAAATATGATTGATTTCCTTCTCTGTAACCAATATTTTAACATTTGAACCAAGGAATTTAACTTCAATAACTGACAGTCTTAAATTTGAATAAAGTAATGATAATAAATAACAATTATTATAGAGACTAATATTTTGCATAGAATCATCAGACAGTCAGTAATTAGGTCAAAAGTACTTGAAAGTTAATTCATGGTCAGTCGACTACAGAAGTGATTGAAGGGATAGTAATCTGTGTGAATAGATCTTTATGAACCCCTCCTGGTTAACTAGTTCACCAGTTACTAGCCAGTCCTAAGACTGGATAAACAGGGAAGGTTGGGCATACGGCTAGCAACCCTACCCCCTAAAACAAATCCAACCGTTAAACAAACTTCAAAGCACGAACGAAATATAAAAAATAAAAACAAAATTATTCCTCGCTGGAATCGGAGAGGCGAAATGACGCCAGTTGGTGAAAGCTTGAGTTCGGGAAGCTAACTGGCCGATGTGTCTTCTCTCCCTCGATGGAAGAGAAAGTAAACGTGAGGGCATGGAATGTTCGCACAATGTTTGAACCTAACAAGACTGCTGAGATTGCAAAGGAGATGAGAAGGTATTGCATTGAAGTGCTTGGAATCTGCGAAAGCAGATCGAATGGAAGTGGACTCTCCAAACTGTCAACTGGAGATTCAATAATCTACTCCGGTCACCCAGACGACAATCTCATTCAACAACTATATGAAGACGCAACATGCAAAGTAATTCACAATGGAAAGCTCAATGATGCCTTTGAAGTGAAGACAGGAGTAAAACGAGGCTGTCTACTAACACCAATGATATTCCTGATTGCAGTCCACTGCATCATACAGCAAAACGTGAAGAGCGAGAAGAGTAGCATACGCTCAATGGATCTGGGAAAACATCCTACAAGATTTGGATTTCGCCGATGATTTATGTCTAGTGTCACATAAACTCGAAGATCTACAGGCAAAAACTAACAAGTTGACAGAAGACGCGAGGCAGCCAAGATGGGACTTCAGGTGAATGTACAGAAAACAGAAATGATGAAGATACTCAACCAAAAACAGCTTCATCAACAACAACAACAACAAGCTCCAATCACCATCAACGGGAGAAACTCAAAGGAAGTAGTCTCTTCCACCTATCCAGGCAGGGCAGCACTGTTTCAAATACAGGCGGCACAAGTACAAACGAGGATGTCAAAGCCAGGATCGGAAAGACAGCTAGATAGGCTTTCATTAACCTGAAACCAGTGT